TAACCGTATTGCGGAGATGAGTGCAACCAGACATAGGCAGCTGTGTACATTGATGGATACACAGATATAAGTGGTCGAAGTGCCTTCGGTCGGTGAAGAGATCTCTTGAATTTCATGAATAAAGGAACAAATAAATAAACAGATGGCATTACCGAGCACGCCAGAGATTCGCTACATAGGGGCAACCTATATGTCACCTGCCAAGCTGCAGCCCTACTTAGCGAACACATAGAACGGCATCACAAGCACGGTCATAGGAGAGTCGGAGACCAGTTTTCTGTAATGCTGTGACGCGGCTAACGTTGAACTGCCTTCCCACTTTTCTTCATTTTCTCGCGAAGGTATAAAGACGAAGGCTCCACAGCGAGCTTTATTGGAGTCATGATCTACCACGTGCTTGGACAACCGAGGAATGCGATGCACGGCATGATTCCTGTCCTACGCTTCGGATGCATCATTGATGTTGAGAAACGGTGCACGCGCGCGCCACCTCCTACATCCACCGTCTTGTGTATCCTCTACTTGGGCAGCCGAAGTTATTAGTTCTTGTCCTAACTAGTGGCTTTCTTGTGTTTTGAACATGTAGGATACTTTTGCAATGAGTAATAAACAGGTTTCCAAATTTTGATCGTAACATGGAGGTAAATTTTGTGCCCCTCACTCATTGCACAAAGGTTAGTCCAAAAGACTACGGCACGTTGGGTGTTCGTCGACCACGACATTGTTCAGAAGAGTGACACCCAGCGTCAGTTGTATTCCCGGCTGCAATGCTTATAAGTGTGTGAAAGAGTGAAATGTGCAACAGATGCATTCACGTACTAAGAGATACATCGATAGACTAGACTGCAATTTCACGGCAGGTAAGAGGCCCCAACGTGTACTCGTTCACGCAAGTGTAAGTGCTCATCTCCAAGCACATTAGAATATTTCGCATGTTCGAGATCCAACAGGAATGAAGGGGGTCAAATAAAAGCGACCGCTGGTGCATGCACCTGTGACCAACTATGCGCAGTGTGCTTATCACACAGTTTGCTTGTCATAAAAAGTGTGCACCATTCCTACCGACCTACTCTAAATAGCTTACAGGTTGACGCAAAACATGGCGTCATCCCTCATATCATTTAAACCACGGCACGAAGTGATTTCATACGTGTATGGTACCGATATAACTTGATTTCTTCCTATGCTATTAAAATATTAAGTATGTCTAATGACAACATTACTGAACATTCAAGACGATGAGATACACACAAGTTACTACATTCAGAACCCAATCGAAATAACGTTCCAAAACATGAATATCCATATTATTCTTCCGCTACATTTAGAATTATTTCCTCTCATCCCTGCATTCACGTGGGCTTCATTCCGTGGCGTTATATGGAAGCCGTAAGGATAAGATAAAAAAATTAGCCTATGAAAAAAGAATAAAAATATTATTAATGGCCACTTAAGCAATAAGCTTGGTGATAAGGTCTTCTCTTGCCAATTTCACGAGGATTCTCATGCTTGAGATTTAACACATCTAAGTACATACAAATAATAAAAGGAGACCGAACTTCCAGTTACTAGTTATGACCAGTAAACATTGTATGTAACTGTACACCGCTTGGCATTCATTTACATGCGTGAGTAGTCGAATGTCACGAGGGGTGTACGGTTAAACCGAACAATACCATTGCGTCACTCATTCATCATCATTGACTCGATGAGTATACCTAGATTGTTTTTTTTTTTCAAATCTCATATCCTTCATTCGAGAGAGAGAAGGAAACAGTGCTTCTTCACTTGTGAAGCACTTCGTGTCTCTTTAAGAAAGCAAATATTCATCGCACAGCTTGAAAATGTCATATTAAAGAAATGACAAGCCAACCCTTGCATGCAGCTTTGTAAAATGTTAACACTCCATTATCACAAGATACAATATTTGCTACCACCGAAGCTACTTTCCGGTTACACGACTCGCCTCCACGCTATTCTTGTGGATCGACTAAAAGAGGAGGCAGAAAGAGAAGCACGAAAAAGAAGAGAAAAATGTGGATGATCCCCCTATCTAGAAATTGTTATAACATGAAATGGAAGCGCGTCTTCTCAAAGGCAGTTGAGCATTCGTTGTGCATTGTTTCAGCAAAAACCTGAAATGGAAAAGTCACGTGAAGAACGGCAAGCAGTACGAAACTTGCAGCACAGCCCTAAAGCAGAAAGAGAACACAAAACTTGCATACAAAAGATGAGCTTGGACTAACAACTGCCACAGCTCGACACTCAAAGCACGCAGGTCAAACCTAAAGAAATGCACACAAAAACGAGCACATATGTATGCACGCGACGACCCACAACTGTCACAATTTTTCCGCAATTCTTTCTTCTTCATGTGTAAGCAGCGTGCCTTTTTTGTAAACGCGGCAGTGGCAGCGAAATTTGGCGCCTCCGTTCTATCACGAATTATAGTCTGATAAGCATGCGAGCAGGAGAAACCACGCTCTATGGAGGTGGTGCTCCTCGGATGCTACGACCTTCAGAGCACGCTCATCTCAAGCCCATCGCGCCATTTTGCCACTTATGATGAAAACACGCTAAAGTTTCAGAGCTCAGAGGGCCACCAAGCGTTGTATGATGTATATAAACAGCCAGCCATTAGGGGCATCTACAACGTTCACTCCACGGCATAGTGGTTAAGGCGCACGCTGTGAATCAAAAGGTCGCTTGTTTCACGCCACGCGCTAGAATCTTTCCCTTCCGCTCTTTTTTTTCCCAGTCTGTCAGTATATATTTTTCAACGTCATATCCGTGACGGAAATACGTCAGCGGAGCCGTAGTGGACCCCGGCATAGAACACTTTTGTGTTCACATGTATTTTGGCGAACAGACGTTGACACACGTTGCCTTGTGATAACCAAAGTGCGGAATGTCATGCATTATCTTTTTAGCCATGTTTTGAGTACTGCTTGAAAAACTCACGAATGCTTCCACTGAGAAAAAACAATGCACACAAAAACAGATGTAGCAGAATTGTGTTCAGCGTTCCAGCACCGATGACCAACTTAGGTATTGGGAAGTGGCGTACCCTGACCAGCTCACCAAGTTGCGCTTAATTTGATGCTCTCTACCGTATAGAAGTAGTCTACTGTGATTTGCGTTGGTAAGCAGAGCTACCCAATTTAGCACGAGCACCAGCCTTTTTTCACAATTCAGTCATGTGGGTTTGGCGATTGCCTCAAACACCTATTGCGTTTCATCAAAGCTCGAAGATTGGTCAGGAAGGCGTAGCACTTGGTCCTCATGCACCCACACTTTGTTTGGTACTGTTCCTCTACAATCTGTCCTTCCTTTCTTCGAGGAAGGATGGAAAGAGCGCTTCAACATGGGTACCCTTGATCAAAAAGGTACCCATGTTGATGGCCACTAGGGTATCAACTCGGGCCACAATACAGCCGACTGTTATCAGCTGTCAACACTCCCCTGGCCTCGCCCCTCGATAACCAGCTTTTTTTTTATGACACGCGGCACGATTATGGAGCTGGTGATAGAGGAGTTTATATGGGCTTAAATGCTGCTCTCTGCGAAAACCATTGCGGTAATAGAACCAAGCGAGGGGAGGGGGAATGGAGGGAAGAAAAAGAAAGCAGGTTGATTTATATGTATGGTTTAACATCCCGAATCCACCATATGATTATGAGAGACGCCGTAGTGGAGGGCTCCGGAAATTTCGACCACATGGGGGTATTTAACGTGCACCCAAGTCTGAGCACACTGGGCCTGCATCATTTTCGCCTCGATGGAAAATACAGCCGCCGCAGCCGGGTTTCACTCCCTTGACCTGCAGGTCAGCAGCCGAGTACCTTAGCCACTAAACCACGAGCAAAGAGGGAAGGTTGGCAGCAGGAATATCCTTTTCGGAAAAGACTTGATGTCCGTGGGCTGGTTAACATGCCTGCTTTTCCCGTCCTTTCTTCGTTCTGTCCTTTCTTCTTTTTTTAAAGATATATATGCACCATTATGTACATATGCAAAATGGAAATACTTCGAAGACCTCCCCCCTCCCTCTTAGCTGACTAAACCAATGCTGGAAGACGTTTCTCGTGGCAAACTACTATCATGCGCTTTCATGAACACTCGGCACTAAGCCGTGTTGCCTCACCAGCAAATTTTGTATCAGACAGAAAAAAACAGAAAGATTGACTAAAAAAAGTATTCTTTTAGCTAATCCGTACGTGATAAGGACCCTTGGGGTCTAAGCGAATGGAGAACCCCTGAAGGCACTGCGAAGTCATGACAATAGCACTGTTCGATAACGACACAGCGACAATATCTGGGGAGTGTTGCCTGAAGAATGAACTTGAGAAGGAAATGATTCAATAACTCATTGATTGACACTTCCCTTTCAGCTTGTTTCTTAAAAACCAACGCAACCACTTTATGCGGGAAAAAGGATCAAGCAGTACGCATAACGTCAATACTGTCTTAGCGAATGACCGGACATGTACGTGGTCGTAGCACTGAAGTCGCAGTTCAGCAGCTATCCTGATTTCAGTTCCTTGCAAGTCGTCCTTGCAATGTTCCTTGCAAGTCGTCACTATTTTCCGTTTTTTTTAATTGTCATTTCTTTATCGTATTGGCTAGCAAGCCAAAGTAAACAAAGCTAGCAATACGCTGTTACAGCATTCTAATTTTGTGCTGTTTTAATTCCTTTGGTCCAAATAACTAATTGTCTCACTTTCATGCACAATCACGTTTCACTGCCTTATCTTTCTATTTCCTCCCCCTCTTTTAAAGGTAAACAGCGCTTTCACTTAAAAAAAATGAATCTTCACCAACTTGCCAAATTTTTAATATTACTCAGCTTATAATTTCCATTTCCTTTAATTAAGACTCAACCCAATTTGTGTATTCCTTTTTTTGTTGAGAATTTGAGAACTCTTCACAGTTTATTTGAATATCTAATAGTAATTTTCCTCACACGATCACACTTTGTAATAATTTAAAAAATGCACAGCTTCTAAGCGTCGGGTATTTTTGTTTACTAGTGAGCACTCGATTCTCAATCATGTACAGCAAACGAAAGATTCTTTTCTTTCTTGTGATGATATGGTGATTTACTTCGGAGGACCATGAGGGTGCTGTCCGCTCCTTGCGCGAGCCACCATGTCCCGGATAAGCTTCAGGGCTTCGGCAGCAACCTGTTCGTACTCGGGGAGGGCCTTCTTGAAGCGCTGGTAGTACTCCTTCAACTGGGGGAACTTCTCAAGGCCATCGTACTCAGCTCCCTGTGATGCAATGCAAAAAGTTCGTGGATTAAAAAAATACTTTTCCAGAAAAATTTTGCTACAACACTGAAACTGGCCTACAGTCAAACAGAACTTCAGATGCCCGAGGCATTTTATCCTCCAAGGCGTATGCACACAAGCTTGTACCAGTGGCGCACTCCAATTCGACCTCACGAGAGGAATGTCAAGGGGGCCATCATTAGTGAATATTGCAGAGTACGTAAGCAAGATAATTTTTTCAGTCATAGAGCTTGTTACTGCTGCGCTTCAATCGTGTGGGCTGGGCACTCTTCGTACTTATTCAGTTGTATTTGATTTTAGTAAGCACGCTACCTATCCTAATATAGCAATGCCGATTATATATATGCAACTGCAATTATCAATGCGTCTATTATTATCATTTATTTATCATTAACAAGGTGCCTTTATGGAGGAGAAGGCCAAATCAAAAGAAAGCAGAAAATCCCTTTATGAGTGCTGAGCAAACAACTCACTTTTCAGGGAGAACAAGAAAGGAACTGAAAATACACTATACATAAGGTCATGTCCGGAAACCACGGGGGACAGCGTAACGTTATGTCAAAATAAAACCTTGCACAAATTCTAGTTTAAAATTTTCTTTAGTTACAAGAAGGTAGGACACTCGCCATCGCATCGTGGCTACGCGGTGTTCGGATCTCGCATTTCTGTCACCCATTTTTGTGTGCTATAAGTTTAATGCATAACTTGCTATGCTGTAGCTCACAATACACTCAGCTACCAATACACTCGTGTAGAGTCTCTTTATTCGACCATATCCCATATATTCTTTTTTTTTACATTCACTCAAGCCAATACTTACCTATTAAAAATGGTGTTGGGCCAAAACGAATCATACATCTATACTACTACTACAGCGTTTTCTTGTTGCTGTCCTGAGAGATCTCACTTAAAACTGGCGCGCATGTCCACCATCATTATCATCATCATCCTGACAACGTCCACTGCAGGACAAAGGCATCTCCCATGTTCCGCCAGTTAACCCGGTCCTGTGCTTGCTGCGCCCATTCATACCCGCAAACTCCTTAATCTTATCTGCCCACCTAACCTTCTGTCTCCACCTAACCCGCTTCCCTTCTCTGGGAATCCAGTTAGTTACCCTTAATGACCAGCGGTTATCATGTCTACGCGCTACATGCCCAGCCCATATCCATTTCCTCTTCTTTATTTCAACTATGATATCCTTAACCCCCGTTACCCGCATGTCCCCCGCATGTCCACCAACTACCTTTAATTCCCCAATTTTTTTTCTTTTTCGTTGCCTGACTCTTTAGAACTATGACCCTAATCTTTGTGTTGTGAAAAAAATATTGCCTTTGTCAGAAAAGTTTGCAAGCTTTCAGTGGACTGGAACCTCTTTTCTCCGATAAACGAGAAGAAGGATTCCGGTGATATTTTAATAAAGAGAAGTTCTTGTAGCGCTGTGTTTTAAAAATTACTCTGGACCAATCATGAAATAGCGTTAGTTTACAAAGTATTCCTACCTTGCAGTCTTGAAACAGTATGCTAAGAAACTGAATAGCAAAGAGAGCAAATTGTTCAATAATTATCCAAGTTCAAGTTTTTGGACACGTCTGAAGTAGACAATGTTTTAAAAACTTTCCAGAGCATTACCCTTATTATATTAGCAATTTCGCCAAATGTATTTCACGAGCATACTGCTAACTAACTTTTTAATAAGCCAGCTTTGATGTTCTTTAATGTACCAAGAATTAACGCTAAGCACACGTACCCTAACGTCATCTACCGTTGCATCATCTACCGTAACCTAATGTCATCCACCGCAAGTAGTTCCTGGCTACGGAAAAAAGCGAGTTAGAAAGTGACTGAAACAGCTTTACTTAGCCGAAATTTGACAAAAGCGTAGCATGACTTTTATTTTGGGCCTCATGAAAAAGCCAGCTCTCTTTAAACTAATCGATCGTTACCTTACTATGATTTTAGTTTTTGCGCGTGTCATCATGTCCGTTTCACTATTTTAGATAAAATCAGACAACGTATTTGATGACCCATTTAGATGAGCAGGAACATGATACGCACATAGCTGAAGTTGCACACAATTTCAAGGGTGCCACTCTGAATTTTAGAACACTTGTCTAGGAGCTATATTACGAGTGGGACTGCATGACCTGTGAACGATCGCTAGGGTGAGATGCACATTTAGACCGCATAACCGATCTTAACACAATTTGTTCGCTGTTGGAGTGGTAAATAATTGAAATAAATTACCCTGTTTTTTTTCTGGGCAACGTATGAGGTAAACACTGTCTTTTGTAACCATGAAGCCTATTTTAATGAAAAGGACACCAAACAGGGAAATGTCGTAGATAACTCCGTGTATGTGGTTCCAAACGTGCACCGGGGTTGCGCGTTGGTTCCTTATTTCTTATATTAGATGGCCCGCAGTGATTTCTGGAGAGTCCAGCAAGTAAGATTGACAATCAAAGCAACGATGTGAGTCGAAATGGATATTGCGAATGTGAGTATTTACCCAAGATGACGTATGTAAAAAATACCACAGAGTACTTTTTCTTCCTTGGCGTTAGCTTGAAGTTACACCCATGGCACTGCTTTTTTTTTTCTATTCGCCGAGTGGTTAATATTTTCTGCCAAGGAGATGAGGCATAGAGAGACACACGAGAGACAAAAGATGCGAACCCTACGTTGTTGAGCTGATATCTACCCAAAGTCTAGACTCCTGCGTTGGGCGATGCTGCGCCGTTGATAAGTACGCAGATCGCCTTTCTTTATGTAGTCGGGGAATTTATGCTCGAAAGAACCAGCTTCTTTCACGAATACTAAAGTAAGACACACCTCATGTAGCTATCATCTTTGATTTCCTCTTTTTATTCACCTGAAGTACACCGGTTTAAGTAGAGGAAAGTATCGCTTCCCACGCTATACAACGAAGTAACGCTAACTTCACCCTGGTCAAATGAGGCATTCAAAATGCTGAAATATTTTGCTTCAAGAAAAATGTTGAAATCGGGCTGTGAGTTATTATTGCACGAAATTTAAATGTATAAAATGAACATCAAGATGTTTTTTACGTTAAGGTGGTCACGTGGCCTAATTAAATTTCATAGATGCAAAGCAAAAAAAATTATGCAGCTTCCCACAAGGGGTGCCAATACTCAAGAAAGAGCGAAGCTGGGCAGCCTTTTTTTGTTTCTTTTCGGTTTTCTTTCTCTTCCCTCCCTTCTTGGCCGTTTATCCTTTATTGTTTTTGTCTTTTTTCTCTCTTCCTTGTCATGGTTATATTTCTTGCTTGATTGCATTTTTTATCACATTTTTCTGCCATTTGAGTGTCTCTATGTCGTACTCGCTTCCTTTTTTTGCTAATTTTATTACGTGGGTTCAGCTAAGTTACACCAAGCGCACTAGTTGATTTCTGCGTGGTGATAAGAGTTGATGATTCAAGTGCTAGAATAGCAGTAGTAAGAAGTTTCTTTGAGTAAGAAGAAGAATGTTGAGCACATGCTCACTATTCTACACAAAGAGCGCTGCGCCAAGCGACAGCCCAGCCCTCTGAAGTTTTCCGCTCTAACAACTTCCACTCATTTGATGCTTTTCACAATATTCAATCAGACTTCCGAATTAAGAGCCTTGCTTCTTGGGAAACTTCGCTTCGTTAGGTTGCTTTTGTTTAAGGAGCTTGACAGCATTTGACGACACGTGATCAACACACGGGTTGGGGAAGGGTTTTGTGTAATTCTAAAGTTTCTTCAATGTGGATGGACATAGCACAGTACATGGGCTTCTCGAATTGCATCTACATTGGCTGCACGCGCTAAACCCAGAAACAGATGTACTTTTAGTATAATAGGAAGTTATTGTATCGAAAAACCGTCACACTTACCTTCGTAAAGTTTTTTCACCAAATAAAATGTGACTGTCGTGGCTTTCGCGAAACTCAAATGCATATTTACCGAGCGTCTCTTTACGTACTGCTTATCATGGTGCAACAGCGTTTGCTAACAATGTGTAATTTGCTTTTGTATAAAAAGAATTAGTATGCAGCCCTCATTAATATAACTCGCGAAGACGCTAAGAGCTATGGCAAATGATCTCTCACCATGTTGCCAGCTCTGAGCACTCATCGCTGTCGGAGGCAAACTCAGCTGAGGCCTAAGCTGGCGGTAAATCAGCAATGAGCAAATGCCGGCGATAACTTTACGATAAGTACAGAATCATATCGCGCTGGCTTTGTTGCTTTCATCTTCTTTCTACCACTTTTTGGGTAACCAAGCTACACACGCTGCCCTTGTTTCAATCTCATTGTTTCAATTGTCCTTAACTTTTTATCAAACTGCTTTCCTTAGCAGAGAGTATGCAAGCAGTCTATACGCAAAAGCTAGCTTCCATATTTTTATATCCGCATCATCTTGCCAATCTTCTACTCTACATAGACATGAGCCAAGTCCTGTGGTTGGCGAAAATTCTAGAACCCCTTTACTAACCCTCCTTCCGTCTGAATGCATCAAGCTCACAGTAACAAAGCAGAAAGCGAACGCAGTTTCACACCCACCTCAATCACTACTCCCAACGTGCAGGCAAGACCAATGTCCGCCAGGGTGACGTTGTCGCCGCACAGGAACTTCTTGTCTCCCAGCAGCGTTACGGCGGTGCCAAGGGCCTTATCATACGCCTCCTTCAGGTCTGATGTCGGTTCCTGACCCTTGAACCACTTAGGCCGCTGCAACGATTCAGACAAAGAAGTAAATTGAGAGAGTTACAGAATGCACACACAACACGAGAAATCAGATAACAGCTGCGCTCGCTGTTCTCGCTTAGTGGCGTAGTCGTTTGGAGCGTCGTGCAGGCACTGGTTGTGCTTTTAAGCGTCACATAGGCGCGCTTTACACTTATCTCTAAGCAACCATTGTGGAGTCAACGCCCGACTAGGAGGTCTCGGAAGCATTCGCATAAGGCGGCAAACGAAGTTAATGCTTATGCGTTGCGTTAAACCACCTCAACGGATGCTATTGCCATGTTTTGTGGTGTCAAACTTACACTACGCATACAGTGAGGGAGAGTTTCCCTACCAGTCAGCGAAATCGTGCTCGAATTTCTATGTGAAAGTGGTTTCTTATGCCTGTCATAAAACCTATGCTCATGTTATTGGATCATACGTAGAAACTCGTCTGCTATGGCACATATGCGATGAAATCAAACGAAACAAACGGCAGTCATCTCAAGAAATGATAACCAAAACCGTGATAAAGCCAAGGAACCACCTGTTTGACTAACTTGACCAAGTTCAGCGAAAAAGCAGTGCATCGAACTTCTCACCTTTATTAGTTTTCAAGAATGTAGTAACGTGTTCCCGCTTGCATATGCGTTTGTGTTTGTTTTTGTGTACTCAACAATGTAAGAAGTAGTGCCCCGCTCATATCTAGTTAAATCAAATAAAGCTTTACATAAATACACCGTGACAAAGAATTTATTTTATCTCCATTATACACGACTGCCAGCCCAGTTACGGTGCTTAAAGTGTATGAATAGAGTAATGTCAAAAATAAAAGAAACACAGCCGTGGTGCTTTACGCGCGTTCCAATGCCCTTCGACACGACGTCTCTCATTCACGCACTCAACATGAGCGCGGCCCTGCGTGACCTCGCACTTTATTTTCATCTCTAGTAAAAAATAGAAAAAAAAGACTCGCGGAGAAGCTCTAAACAAGTTACTTGACCTCTGGTGATTCTGAAATAAAATATGGTTTTGGAGGGAGCCCATATCGTCGTGCATGTTTTTATACATGCCGCAAGAAAAGAACAAAACATTTCGTTGGTGCCCGCAATTCCACGTACGCTTTACTCTCAAAGCGTTTTCTCTCGGTCGTGTCTGCACGTAATGACCACGAAGAAAAGGAGGGGAGTGCGGTGGGCATTTTCAGAACGTACCATAGGTCATTCGCCGGTTTCCAACAATGAAAGTAAAGATGGCCATGAGCTTTGTTGTTAAGAGAAAATAATTTGAGCTGTTCTCTTTTACTTTGGCTCGAGGAAACCGCGCGCCTAAATATAGCTCTAGGTAAGAATTAAAAAAGAAAATCACGCACATGGGCACAACTAAAGTACTCCCACTGAGCGGAGCATTGATCTCCGATCTCCTAATGTCCCTTCATTGCGCTCCTTCACTGCTGTCCAAGAAAACTTGCACGTACAGAAATAGCACCTGCATTATGCAATATTGAGAACGATATGAGAAAAAAGTCGCATGTTTGCTTCAGGCAATAGCCTATGGAATATTACCGTTGCCATTTCGCCCAGACCGGAAGCACTCGCGCGTGTTATAAAGGCAAGAGTGGCTAATAAAACCATGCTCCAAACTTAAGCGGAGGAGAGAAATTTACTCGAGTAGCCTAAATATTAGAGCAATAGCTCGTGCCACATGCTTTGAGGTGAGTTGTGCAGCAGCGAAAGTACCGTATTGTCTGGCAAAGTGGTATCTTTTCATACAATGTGGCCAATATTTTTCTAATAATTTGTAAAGGCTAGCGAACGCTCAGAGTCTTCGGTTATATTGCTATCACCTGAGAGCTAATGACCGCCTGTCAAAAGTGCACTTGACCGTACCACTCCTAGTTAAAGAAGACTGGTAAAAAAAGAACTAAAGAAACTCTTAGCCGCTGTACAGCACAGGGTATTTTTCAAAATTACCTTTCATAAATTATCAGTGGTGTCTAGTAGCAAGATAACAGACCGTTATGAAATTTGCCACAAATTTTAATCTTATGTTTTTCCTGGCATCAGTTGGTCATTGGCGCTTATCAAATGTCCTAGTATCATAACTTCGTAAAATTTCAGTTGCCCTTCTTCGTTCAAAACCAAACAAAAACACGGGACAGAAATGGTTTGTATGCGATTCCAGCAACGCCACCAATTTCTTGGCATTTTTATCCATACAGGTGTATGGCAAATATGAGCATGCTATATAGACGCTGTATGCATTCCGCAGAATTACATGGATAACTACTAGTATGATATAGACAATGTGACAGTAAATACAAGGAACAGCCAGCAGCAAACTTACAAAGTATGCCATCTGTGCCGACAACAAGGTGCCGGACTCAAAGAAGAGCAGCCTGTTGACAGTGGCTCTCTTCTGCAAGTCCTTCGGGTACAGCGTGGACTCCGGAGCATACTTGTCCACCAGGTACATGCCAATGGCACGGCTGAAATTGTTGAATATTGGCAGAAACAGGCAGGACAAATTTCATGAGTTTCAGGAGAGCTTCGCAAACCGTGGCTTCATGTTTGAATAATGCAGTTGTAATTAGGTGCTCATTTTTTTGCTAGAGAGTTTAATAATTGGAACTTACAACGAAGCCACGCAAAATATAGGGATAGTTATTTATAGAAGCTAGACCAGCGATCTTCGAATAACAAGTCACTGATTCTGTACTACTGAGGTACACTTGAAATAATAGTTTTGGTTGTCAGCTTAGGCATCGCCAGAGCTGTACAAGGTTCTGGTACTACTCAATCGAAGGCTGGACCAGCAGCGCGAGACGTTAAGTGAGTACGTTTGTCCATAAAGTTCTGCCTGCCTTTCTTATCTTCCAACTGATACAGATACAGTTTTTATTGCGAGTCTTTTCAGACATTTGCACCCATTCACCATCATGTGACAGAGCCTTTAAGGAAGTTTGGGAACGAGGACTGTGTAGACAAATGTTCATTAAAACTTAGAAGCTTAAAGAAGCCACAATAAAAGATTGTACAACATACCTTTCCCAAAGAACAAAACCATTATCGTTGATTGTGGGGACGGTGTGCACCGGGTTCAACTGCAATAAAGAGAAATATCCGCTGACAATTTTTCTATGTGGAGGATCGCTCGAAGCTCCTTTGAGCTCCATCAGTCATATCAGTAATATCAAGAACTCTATGAGATGACGCTGCTATGTTATTACAACCATGATAATGCCTTTGTGTGATGGCAAGGTTGTTTGTGTGATGGCAAGATTGTACTGCAAGAGCAGTAACTTCCTAGATAATTAGAAATGAATCCATGAAAAGTATTTGCCTTAAAATGCTTCCCGAGAACGTTGAAATAATTAAAGAAGAATGGTGGGAGTAGAGTCTAGTGTAGTGCGTTGCCACCTGCATAATCTAAGCAATCTCTAGAATTTCCCTTAAGTAAAAAAAAATGACTGGTCATCATATTTTCATTTTCAATCTTGAGAACTTAAAGTTTTTCTCACGCTGGCATCAAGCAGAAAAAAATAATAGAACTAGACAAATTCTTTCGATGCTCTAATTTTTTGCCGCCAACTCAAGCAATTATCTTGTTATGACAGTGGCTGCTTCTTTTAAAAATGTAACTTCCGTCACACCTATAGGTACTAATGCTACTACGGGTAAATATTCGAATACGTGTGGTAATATAATAATGCGGTCGTAAGTATTCGTACCAAATATAGCGACCACTAAGAGATACTAAAATTTAAAATTGAAAAAGAAAACTGATCATTGTCTGTGTGTTAGAAACCAGTTATAGTTTTTTTATTTACAAATTATTCTTAAGAATAATCTAAAGGATTAAGGGCGACATACTTAACGCTGTTGCCAACACCTTCACTCCTGCATTTTCAGGTATGTGTACTCTTTTTCTATACGCTATACGACTCGCAGGAAACGCATCGGCAAAGTAGTCGTGCTCTTACAGTCTTGGACAATGTCTCTGCCATGGCATTTCCTTCATTTTAAGGAACCTACATTCAGTATGGCGTGAACGAGGATCTTTTGTCGAGGTTAAACACTCTGTATATCCTAATTGCAATTTTTGCACCCGCTATCTATGCTACATTTGCAAACGTTTCGTTTACATTCACCAGTGCTTTGGAATTGATTTGTTTCGCGAATTTTTTTCACACATTTACTCTACTCCCCTAATGTAACAGCTTGTATCAGCCGTTCGGCACGACGTCCCTTAGAGACCATTGAATATCTTGTGTTGCTTAGGTGGTTTTATCTGCCCACACCCAGGGCACAGCTTCAGCTTCCAAGTATCTGCTTTCTCTGTCGCTCACAGTAATCAGCTGATAAAGCACTTGAACAATCGTCTGCATTTTCGATCATGCGACTCGAAAATTTCCTGATATCTGTCACAAATCTCAGTCCCGTCAAACTATACTAGATAGAGGCCAGCTCGTTGACTGTATGAAGGAACACACGATGCGTACAGGCTCACCTTGACAAACTCGGGGTTTAGGTGCTCCTTGGCCATGAGGTTAAAGTTGTTCAACTTGAGTTCGACGCCCAGTTTCTTGGCTACAACCCTGACGAATGTGCATGGCGGGCTTCCCGGAGCGTTGTACAGTTCCACAACCATTGTGCTTTTTCGTAGGTTCTCGCTGTCCGCGCGTACACTTGACTCGTAGAGTAAGTCTCCCCGGATTTTTCTTCCTACTGCCGGAGGTCCCTCGAGAAAGGAACGATATATAGTAGTTTTCTTATCACCCTCTATGCATTCTCTTTTAGGTGTTCAATTTGGTTCGAGATAAAAAGCACTGTACTTCGCACTGTATCTTTTTATGATAGTTTTTTTTTTCTTACACCGCCTGATAGCGGGTGACGCCTACCTCTCCTGCTAGGTTTGCGTGGAAAGCGGCCGTAGTGAGTGACGCTCTCAGTAACGCACCCCTGCGTATCTCGAGCGGGGAAGAGCTGATAAAGTATGAAAGAATAACAGAAAACAGCTTTCACCGCAATAGTCGAAACCTCGTAGGGTCAGACTGAATGAGGTTCCAGACATTTCCTTTGTGTCGTCCAAGCTGAGGCGACGTCTAAAAGATAAGCACGTTATGATAGTGAGACACCACGAGACACAGTCGCATGGTGCGTAAGCTAACCAGTGCAATCGTAGATAACGTGTATCGGAGTACACGTGACTGTGACTCAGCGTCGCTCGAGTAGTGCAGATGCCTCACGATAGCAAGATTTCAGCTTTCTGGTTTAATCAATGGGTCATAGCTCGGTCGTGTTTCGACATTTTCACCATTTTAAATAAATAACAATTGAGCTGATTGATACCGATACGCTCACTGGGATCAATGTTTAGCGCAAATAACCATAACGACACAATTAGAACAATAAAAAAGCTTCACATCTACTGACAAACTTCACGCGCCTATGTGAACAGAAGCCAGAAAGTGAACAAGTGAAATGGTAAAAGTGAGGGGAAAAGCAATGGCGCTAAGCGTCACGGAAGAAAATCGCTCATGAAAAGCCACCACAACAATGATTCGCTACAAAGTCCCTTTAAAATGTGAAACTAAATTTCCTTTTTTTATTTGTGCCATAGAAACAGCTCTTGATTGATTGATTTGTGGGGTTTAACGTCCCAAAACCACGATATGATTATGAGAGACGCCGTAGTGGAGGGCTCCGGAAATTTTGACCACCTGGGGTTCTTTAACGTGCACCCAAATCTGAGCACACGGGCCTACAACATTTCCGCCTCCATCGGAAATGCAGCCGCCGAAGCCGGGATTCGAACCCGCGCCCTGCGGGTCAGCAGTCGAGTACCTTAGCCACTAGACCACCGCGGCGGGGCTAGAAACAGCTCTTACGCATTCACAAGTAGGTTTCAAACAGAAGAAATCCTAAATATTTTTTTCAACTTCGTAACTAACCATTACTGCATTATACGCCTTAAAACACGGGCCAAATGGAGTTCGGGCGTTGGCCACCCAAGCAAAATGTATGTGAGTGCTCTAGCTGTGAGCTAGAGCAATCATATTGGCACGATTCGTTCGGAAACAGCCACTGACCCTTGAGCCTGATTCGTTTAAATATGTAGTACCAGAATTTCTCTTATGGTAGCGCAATTTCATTGATAGTCTCAATTGCAGTTCACAAAATAAAGTATACATGCATAAATTCGCAGCCTTCAATTTAAATGCGAAGCATTTGTTAGCGAACTTCGGTGACTTTGAGCGTATTTATCTATCTATATATCTATCCGCCTACGTAGTGGTGTTCTCGTTCTCCACCTCTTAACTTAGCGTGAATCAAAATTAGCATGGGAGGGTAAGACAGCTTGACGAATATAACGCCCTGGTCAAGACATAAAAGACGCCAAACCTGCGCTTAAGGCGCAGCACAGTCCCAGCGAAAGCTAGAAGAGCCGCCTTTAAAAACCTTTCTGAACGTTGATGGGGCAACGACTGCAAGCGCACTTGCTTGATACCCACTTCGACATTATTTAAAAAACATTTTGTTGTAGGCCAGCATTCGCTATGCAATTTTTTGTCATTTTTCTGCGAAGTGTGGCATCCGCTAAATACTTACAAGAAATTTTGTGCCAATTAATTATGCAATGGCTGACGATGATGAGGAATTATGCTTGAAATCGTTTATATATTAAATGCATGGCGGGCTTCCCGGAGCGCTGTACAGTTCCACGACCATTGTGCTTTTTGCTAGGTTCTCGCTGTCCGTCATTTTATGCTGTGTCACTCAATAAAAAAGCGTATGCGCCACAGTTTTATGTGAACAAGAACACGCTTTTGTAATAGGTTGGACAGCCCACTTGTTACGCTATTCACGTTGTGCGACGACTAATTGTTCTTTCGCTGTTTTAAAATGCTTTATAAGTCGTAATAATGCGATTGCTTTCCCGACATCAAGCCTGCCTACGGCTAGTTTGCCAACAAGTCACAAGCACCGGCGTGCCTCAGTGGTAGAATACTGGGATGGCACCCAGAAGACCCGGCTTCAAGTCCTACTGTGTCGTTGGCGCTAGGTTTCATTATTTTAATTTCGTACGATGTGGTTAGGGACACCGGTGGCGGCAGTGGTGACGGTAGCGGTGGCGGCGCCGGTGAACTACGGTGGCACGTGACCCGATTTATGATCCTATAACAACTTTCCGTGTAAAAACGTCGCAATTTCATCACGTACACATTCAAACACTTCCCGCCATACAGTGGCGGGAAGTGTTTGACCCACGGGCGGGCGGGTATTGACCCACGGACGGGTATGCGCCGCAGCTATGCTGGTATGTGCCACAGGTAATCGACACTTATATAGTGTCTACCCAGGAAAGAGAACACACATGGTCAATTTTAACGCTCGAGTGTTATGTATACCCGACATCGGTACCGTTGACCCGACGAATGCAAAGAATACATGTCAGGGTCCCAGCTAGAATCAAACCCAGGCGTTCTGCGTGGCAGTGAAGCATTTTACCAAAAGTTACGCTAGGTCTCGGAACGACTTCTCAAGTAGACGCTAGTCTTCGTGAAACGTAAATAGTGCTTGCGGTGCTGCCTACTCAACTTTATAAACATTACGTATGTACTCCTTTGATACAGCCGTCACGTCGGGTTGACGTCAATTGTGGTTATTTGCCACGCGCTGAAGTTGATTTATGTAGCAGTGTCCAGTGCCAGCATCTTCGCGAGCATCAGCGCTTCATATCAGCTTCTGGTGTTGCCAATACGCATGTTCCAGTTGGCATCGTTGCGCAAGTGTAAATAACTGGTCGTATGAACTTCAGAAACTCTTCAACGCAGGTCTGTGCATGCAAAATTTGTACACAATTTAGCGTCATTTTATGCAGTGTCGCTCAATAAAAAATTGCAACACAGCCACCTTCCCTCCGCATGCTTCGTATAAGGTCGATTCCCAGGTACGTGGGATCAGCCGAATTTTTTCGCCGCATGGTGAAGAGAACGAAAGAGCCTTGCGAGCTATTACGATGATGAAGGAGCAGCACAAATGATAGAACGCATAAGAACATAAGCATCGCACTTGCTGGCTGCCTTTATAAGGTGGTTGGATGGTCAGCCATGGTAGATAAATGTCTACGCTGGTCGGCTACTGACCCGAAGGGTCGCGGTTTCAGGGTCGCGCCGCAGCGCACGCATTCAGGTGGAGGCAAAAAGGTAGAGGGCTGTGTATTCTGCGATGTCAGTGCGCGCTGTGGAACAACAGCTGGTAAATGTTTCCGGAGCCCTCCAGTGCGAAATCCCTCATAATTATATACTGGTTTTGGGACATAAAACCCAAGATATTGTCATTAGGTAATGCGACACGCCATGTTGAGATGGCATAACTACAATGCGCGTTTTCGTCTGTACGCTTCGCTTACAGGTTCAACACGTTATGTGTTCCGTGTAATGTATTTTTTTTTGTTCCAGTAAGCATGCATCGATAGCTATTGAAGTCGACAATATAATGAACAGCTACCTGGTTCAAAGAGAACATAAAGAGTCAATACAGAAATGCTCCAAAGTGTACTTAACAAATATTAAAATTATTAAGAGGAGAGTTGACGCAATCAGTTGATGACGGTGTTCGCGGCGAGTTCGCGGATCCACCTTTACTGGTGGACAAGAGAATTTCATTTCCTCCAAATATCGTTTTCGTGGCCCCATTGATTTGTAGAGGCTCTGCCATGGCACTTTCACTGCGTATTTTTAGTCATCGTGGTTGCTATTGAAGGCACCTATTCCATTTTTTAAATGATAATTCGTATTTGCGCTCCAGGTTATCTCGGAATACGTCTTGCTGTGTTTTCTATGCTTGAATAACGAATTATTAGTGTTTAACATTCTTTCTACGCTTGTGCTTAAAGACCATGAACGTGTCATCCACTTGAAGCACAGCGGGAGCCGTGCGGTGCTGACGTGAGCACTGCATTCATGCAGACCTTTGCATATTCTCGGCATTGCGTTTCTCCTGGAAGAGTTGATAAGAGTGAACAATTATGAATGATAAAAGTGATGAGGTTCTTAGAAAGTGCAAGCGCAGGCTGACTTTCATAGTGGACATTTGGTCTTCTTGACGTGTCGGCATTTCCCATTTGGTGTGTGATAATCACACGAAGGGAAGACTCAATTTACATAGACATTGCCAGAATCAAATGTAGGCCTCGTCTGCAGAAAAATGAATATTTAGAGGGTCCAAACGAAACAAATCACTGCGAGGAAGGCTTGTGTGATTCTCCACGTCTATCTTTACCTTGTTTTCAAAGGAGGAGTTGTTAAGACGAGCTGAGCAGTGCGAACATAACTCTATTGTAATAATTAGCTGAAACATGGTATCTTCGTCCACATCGCCATTCTCACCTTGTTCATTTTCGTCTGACTCCCGAAACATGTGCGCCGATGCATCTGGCGTCTAATCCAATACTTTCCGTGGGGGAGAGAATTAGTACGAGTGAGAGAGAGAGAAAAAAAGATACAAAGGAAGTGAAAAACAAATTTTTGGGAGGAAAGTTCTTGACAAAGCGGGATTTGAACCCGCGTACCCGCAACCCGAAGACAAACGTGGCGACCAAATATGAATACGAGCACGCTGGCACACGATCACACAGCCTCGTATTGTGTAGTACAAGAAGGAAGTTGGAAAGAGAAGTGAGGGTTAAG